TGGGCAGCGCGCAGAAGGCGCGGGGCGGCGCGGCCGGGCCGGGGCCGGCGCCCGGCCTCCGCGAGGGGCACTTGTTGCCTGCTTTACACTACTCCGAGGGCTGCGCGCACAGCTCGGGTTAGGAAACGGAGCTCGTCTGCAAGCGTGCTTATACATAACTCAAACACACGTGGGTGCCCGGGGCTGAGCGCGTGGGCTCCTGGCAGGCCTGCTCCCTCAGCAGGGATTTCCAGAGCAGTGCAACCCTCAGGCGTTGGGGGTTCGTTATAGCCCTAGCAGCGGCGCCCAGCAGAGGCCACAGGACGGCAGGTTGCCTGGGTTCTCTGCAGGTGCCGTCTGCAAGCCCATAGTGACTTTTTTTTCCCTCCTTGCTTAGCATCTGGCCTGAAGATTTTCCCAGGTTGCAGGAGGTGGAAGCGGAAGGTGCTACCAGACTCGTAGCCAGCTTGAAACCCACTGCTGATTGAAATGTTAACCACAAGGCACGTAGTTGTTTCCAGAGCCTGAGGAGGTTGAGGTTTGACACACCACACTACCATTGTATAACAGATTAGATGCGTCACCTGAGGAAGGAAAAAAAAGCTTTCGGCTGTTACCTTTGAAGGTGCCTGTTTGTAAACCTGGGAATTTTGAATTGATAAGGTTTAAACTACCCCTTCTAGTCAACAATGACTCAGGTGAGTGTTAAGTGCATCTGGGAACTCTCGCTAAACGGCTGCAGTTGATGTTGGTGTAAATCTGTGCTGTTTCTGCTTTCGACATGCGGTATACCTCTCAGCTACCTGAGAGCTCTCACAGACACGCACTAAGTAATGCCATAAAGCACGGCAAGTTTGAACATAGCTTATCACGCAAAAAAGTTTGAAATGTCCTTGGCCCAGATCAAGTTAAGCAATTTGAATAGAAAGCCAGATGCTAGTCATTACCATGTAAAATTAGTCTACATAGTGAGAAATATCAGCATAGATACGCGATCATATCATCATTTATAATTGCTTTGAATGGTCATAAGCAATAGAAGAGTCAAGCTAGGAAAATCAAGCTCTGAAAGAGGTGGAGTGTGTTTGGTAGAGAAGACGACACCTATATTTTGAGTCCGTTTTAAAATACCACACTGCAAGCAGTTCATTGCAGTTCACACTCAAATACAAACCATATGGCTGTGTTTGATTAAGGCATACATAATTTATCACCTTAATACTCATATTTTTTTGACCTTTTACAATCACTTACTATAGGAAGAGTTACAGAAGCTAAAAACATGTTACTCTACACCTGTCTAACTTTAATCCTGACAGCTTTCCTTTACTCAAATCTCCACGTTCCCACGGAAAGAGGTATCAGTTTGCTCTCCTCTTACATGTCAGAGCCAAGTGCGGGGGGGAGAACACGTGGCTTTGCAGGTTCTTGCAGAACAATGGTGTCAGACACAAAGCCAAAGGGTTTTGGATTTTTTTTTTCTGTCCACAGAGTATAACCTACCAGACTTTCCTTTTGAAAGCACATAAATTCTTGACTAAAATGTTGCTGCTGACCTCAATGATAGAGTCTCTCCCATAAAAGGGAGGCTTTAAATCGCACTTCGTCCCAGACTAGTTTGCCTACAGGCAGCAGGTTTTTGGCTAGTTCAAGAACTGACGTACATATAAAGAGAGACACAAAGCGAGCTTAGAGGCCTGTGGTGCAGATATACAGTAAGACAGGCTATTAGCAGTTCAAGTACCAAAAGGGGAGAGGAAATAGCAGTATTCCTGTGTTTATGAAGCCAGAAACTGAACCGGTGTCTGCTAGTAATCCTGCAGGTTCCAAATAGTTATTTTCTGTCTCTAGTCCCCAGATGGCAAATAAACGTGTTGACAGAAAATGTGGGGAAACCACTCACCATTTTTTTCTTCATCACCTTATTTTCTTCCATCTTATCATTGCTTTTCTGTTTGTTCTCCATTCTATCACCTTGTTAGTTAGCAGCTGAGGAGGAAAAGAGAGAAAGTTGTGGCAGCATTTGGCTGAGACATTTTTCTTTTCTTTTAATAAAACTGTAAGACTGACCTGAGAAGCACTTGAAAAAGCCTGAGAGGAATCTAGCTACTGCATTCGAAAGTCTGGCCCTCATTCAGGAAGGCATCCTTATTCATGGCAGCAAACTGAGTGAAGTAAAAAGCAACTGAAAAAACCACATGCTGAGTATGTTTAAGTAGTCTCCTCAGAGGACTACATGCTCTTTGGAGCAGTCATAGTAGCTCCTAGCACAACGCAAAGTAGCGAATGAAGGGAAAAAGCTATGGTATCGGGTCCTTCAGTGAGCATACTTCTTGTGTTGGAATGGGATAAAATGCTGAAACTGCTCAGAGATCCTATCCAGAATGTGAACAGTAGACCCACTGCCACTCCAAAAGGAATTTAGATAGTCATGTGGAACTATACTACTATGGCTGAGTTGCGGCCAAGGCATTTGGATTAATTGCTGGTGCATTTCCACTGAAAGCTGCAGGGACTCTCGCCTTCTTATGCTGTACCAAGGCATTGGATGAACATGTTTGCAAAAGAAGAGTCCATTTACTTACTCTTCTGTCAAGAAAATTCTTGACCGGTCACCACCGCACATGCTCTAATAGTGCTGAAAGACATTTTAGTCATCAGTTAATAAGAAACTAAACTGATAGCTGGCATTTCAGACAAGATGGATTATCCAGGATTTATACTATGCTTTATTGTACGATCTCGGGCAGTTCACTAGTCTGTTCAGTTCGTTTGGAATATGGATTACTGGGTTCTTCTGTCTCAACATCTTGAGGACAGCATGATCTTTGCTTGCTCGGACACTATGGTAACAAGACGATATAAATGGCAACGATAGATCCAGTCTCAAACACAAGGTATCTTGTAGATAAGAGTCTACAAAATAGTGAGCTACAATATATATGGACCATTTAGCCAACGAGCAAGTTAGGGTGGAAGTCCGTAGAGGCCCACACACCTGCGAGAGGTGTTTCTAAGAAGGGATCCTGTCCCATAGAAGAACTGCTATGGGCAGTAACTGGGCCATCTCTTCAGATGGTTTCAAGAACTCAAGTTCACTTTAGATTACAAGAAAGGGGAGAGGTGATAGCATCCTACAGGCCCTAAAGCCAGAAAAATAACGATTCTCCCTCTCCACCTCCCGTTAAAGTCAATACTGAAAACCTGCAAACAACTCCTTTCCCTCTCCTGCAGAGGGCTTTAGTCAACTCCTGCTAAAACGCTCTTCGAAAAGAGCTTTCAAGGCAAAAACATTTCACTTTATCAGAGATATTCTTAAACAGTTGTGCTGTCCCGTGCCGTGTTTAACAACTATGTTAAAAATAATCTGTTGGACTAGCTCACTGTAGCACCCACACGCTATGCAATATTTCGTATTTAGGGCAAATAATTCAATTAATGAAACGTTACGCTTCTAATGGATCATCATCAAACAGCAATTTAAGAGCTTACAGGACAAACAGTGTTTGGGGCATAGTGCTGAAACAGAAACAGCGTAGCCTTAGTCAGAAACAAGGTGTTTAAAGAGAAACAAATTAACCTGAAAGCTAAGCCACTAGCAAAGAGAACTTGTCTCTCCCGTCCCTCACCACATATCTTTTTAAATGGTTGAATCTTCCTCTTGGTCTCTGAGCAGTCTTTAAATAATCTTTTATAATTTGTCTGTTTTGCCTGGAAAGTTTAATTGCTAACAGTGCACCACCTGCAGAAGTGTTCAGATCAAACTGTCCCTTCTATGTTTCAGGTAACTCTGGTTTCACAGCTTTTTAAATCCATATAATTGACTGCTGAAAAAAGAATGTTACCACATCTGGGGCAGACATCCAGTATGATGCAGAAAACAAGAATCCTATTATTTATCTGTTATCATGGGAGATTAGATCTGCCCACTCCCTAACTTGTGCAGTGAATCAAGAGGCAGCCATGAAGCAAGAAAGGTTCATGCAAATCAGGTCGGGGGCACCTTCCAGTTGAGCATTATAGACTTAAAGTTTGCTTACCTACTTAAGCAGAAGTTTATCTAAGAACATATAGGTTGAGTTCATTAGTGGGAGACATAATCCAGCCAGTTCTGAACTTGTATCGAACATTCAGCATTTGCTGAATGACCATAAGTCAGTCAGCTGGAGTGAAAACAAAAGCTATCAGAAAGCTAACTGGTTCACAAAGAGCAAAGAGCAAATATTTAAAACTCAGATTTTAAATAGCCATATTTGCTATATTAAATGGTAAAATTGCCAAGATGACCACCACGGGAACACTCAGAAAGATTGAGTTAGAGGCTGCAGTTAAGAAATTCCCCAAAACGAGGGTTAAAAAAAAAAGCCAAAATATCTGAAATAGCACAATTGTTGCTGTAGGTCAGCCTGAACACGAGGCGCTATTTGGCCCCGTAGCCAGTGGGAGCCCTTTTTGCCATCTTTCTTGTTCAGGTGGGTACAGCCTTGCACCGAACCACCAGTCACTCCTCCAAGAGCAACGGAGGAGGAACATAAGCAAGCCTCAGGCCATTTATGTGCAATTTAGAAGGTTTTAAGGACAAAAATTCCTCATGATGGGCATACATACGACTGCCATGTCCGTCTCCAATGCACAAATATATTGCCTCTGTTAAGAGATTATGTCTGTGTCAACACTGCAGTAGTATGCACAGGGGAAGTGTCCAGAATAGTCCGAAGAGCAGCTTCCAGCTGACAAAAAAATCACTTGTAATTACAAACCAACACAGTCTCTCAGGGTTTGTACGGGACTGCTTGACACTCCTCAGACTAAGCCTTTTTGAGGTGTAACATATAGTAGTTTGATTTCTTTTAAAAACGGAGAAAAGAAACACTCCGGGAGACAACACTGGAAAGGTGTGTGAATTGCAAAGCTTTGGAAAAAAACATTGATATCAAAATAACCCAAATAGACCTGGTAAAGCGTCATGGTAGACTAACATCTAATAATTAGATGTCACTCAGCAAAGATCTCATTTTAGTGACAGTGATTTTCCCTTCTCTCCTCACCCTTTCTCTAATTTGAGAAGGCAAAATCATCCAACTTGAGTACTTCAGTTTCCTGTACATCATACAGCAAAGAGGTAGGCATTTCAGAAAATCTTTTTATCATTTTAACTCAGTACTAAAACTCTAGTAAAACAGGGTGGCGAAGAAAAGTTTTGAATCTTACTCCTATCCCCAGCTTGTGTGTCTAGAGCTACTGCTGCTGCCTTCTGCTCAGCTCACAGGCAAAATCCTCTTGGCTGAGCCTTTCAGAAGGGGAGTCACCTACGATGAAATGGGCTCAGTACTTCCCTGCACTTCTAGCCAGATGCTGCTGTCACTAGTCTACAGAATGTACTTAAATGAATGTATTTCTTTATCTGCTACTGTAAATCACACACACACAAAAGAAATCTACCCTAGATTAATGAAAAGGTTAGTTTTTTAGAGCATCCAGCTTGAAGACCAAATTTAAAGTTTTTTGTTACCCAGATTAGAAACACTTCACATATAAGAGCCTGATAAATGACATAACTATCTGGCTAAAATACGTCTTCTTGAATTCCATCATGAACTGAAGGTGTTATTTTCTACCCAAGTACTTCTGTTAAACTGCATGTATTCTAGTCCAAGTAAGACTCTGCAAGTCAATGCTTCTTATATTGTTTGTGGAAAACACCAAACAGTCCCCATAGTAAAGTATCACTTCTGGAGTCAGCTATTGCAGGACCTTAATTTAACACAGAGTATTTCTGTACTACTGGGCCATTTAAGCGAAAGCCGGTCTCCAGTATCAACGCTGTAGACACCCCAGCTCCTGGAAACACCTGCTCTCTTGAGTAATCAATTGATATAGTGTTACAATTTGTAAATGTCTCTCTTCCTCTATCTGTAACATCAATCCTAAAGTGTTTTTACAAGACGATCAGTTTTGTGTATCTCGATTTCAGTATTTCATACAGTTCACAATCTGATCTTTTCTACTGAGATGGGGAAAGATTCTATTACAATTCTTTTTTTTTTGTTTAATATATAAACTGGGGAAAAACTGAAGCAGTTTTCCATAGACATCTATAAATAAGGAGAGGAAAACATATCAGAGTTAAAAGCTGTTTACTAAGAAGCTGAGTACTTACCTGACTAGCATGAGAAATTATTTGTTCACAGGTACGAGTTTCACAAAATTGATTTACCCTAGGATAAATCTATATCTCCTTTCCCGATTCAAATCCTCAAGGGTGTTGCCAAGTTTGCAAAGCTGGTTCAAACTATCAACTCCAACTTCTAAGCATTACTCACCACTTATCCAAAGTGCTCTTCACTTTCAGGGTTCTCTGAAATTCAGTACAGGTCAGAAGCAATTTTAGGACAGGTACAGCAGCCCTCTTCTCTGAAACTGGGATGGTTAAATCATTAAAATACACTTAGTGCCAATTTTAGCTCTTTTATATATTTTCAGGAGTAATTAATAATTAACAGTAATGGCTAATAATTGTAAGATACGTCAGCCAAAATTCATGTAATGTATTTTTTCTACACAATAGAAAACACACTGGCTTGTACGGCTACAATACCTTAAAATAAGTCTGTTTCAGTTGTTGCACAACTTGAAAAAGCTTTCCTTCCCACATTCAAGTCAATAGACATTTGAAATGCAAGTGCCTAAGGCTAAGAATTACATTCATATACTCTTACCTGAATACAAACGACCAAGTTAAACAACACCCACAGCATTCCATGTGCTGTAAATGGTTTTTAATAATGATGTGTTGGCCCAGTACTCTTAAATATGAGACACTGCATAGTACTTGTTAGGAGTCACCCATTTACAATGTTTTGAAAGATTGCAACAAGACATCTGTACAGTTACAAAAATCACATTAGCTCTTAGACAGATTTAACTTGGCTTCTGGCTTTACACCATGGAGAGGAACTCCATATCAGTATCAGTTTAAGTGCTAAAGAAAACATGGGTCAGGACAAGGGTGGAACGGTCCTAACTTTGCTTTTGCTATCAGTTTCTTATATCCTGAATCTAAATAGGGATAAGCACAGTATAGGTATGAAAATATTTTCTCCATTTTTATTTGCCCTGCTGATATGCATATTGCTTACTCTGAAAATCCAGTCGTTGTTAGGCTCATCAGGATTTCCTTAAGGACCTTGATAGCTAGTTTAATTGGATTACCTATATACCTGCAGATGTTAACCCATCCAGGGTGCATTAGGTAAAGTGGCAGCTGTACAGAGGTCAACCGGCAGAAATTCCAAACTCTAGGTGGGATTTGGGTGGCATTTATTGAGCCTGTGGTGTTCAGTTTATATTTCAAGTTATGATTGTTCTGGCAGTTCCCACAGGTCACTCTTGAGCCTGTTACATAAATCTCAACTAAGTTGACAAAGGCATGGCGTTCTCAGAAGTTATTCCCGTCAAATCTGCCTCAACAAAACATGGGCATCTTTCTCCAGCTACAAGACACTAGTTAATAAAAGGATCACTTTTGGGAACAGGAAAGAAACTCTTCATAAGATTCCTTAGCATATTTCACCTAAAAGTGTCACTAAAAATTATTGGCAGCCAAGATCCTAAAAGTAACAAGATAAAGTCTTTCTTTCTGTACCTTAGTCTTCTGTAACACAAGTCTTACAGTGATTTTGAGCTGTCCAGGAAGGAGGAGTGAGAAGTTCTCTCTTCACTCTCTGGAGTGAGAGTGAGGGAGCAAACAGGTCAGATTCAAAGGATCTTGTATCTCAGATTCAAGTGATAGGTGATACCAGGGCTACAAATATTTAATTCACATTTTAATGTAAATGTAAAATGTAAACAATCTACTTTTTAACTAAAGTCTTCACAATCTTTAAGCTAATCCAAACTGATCAGATAGTGCCAGTTTAGCAATGTGAAGACAAGAGGTAGTAGCTCTTAGTAGCATCCATCATTTGTGGGAAGCATTTGTTGCTCAGCATGTCCCATGATTAGCATAAGGACAGTAAAATAAGCAGTACAAGGCTATCAAACTGTCATTATTACATTGAAAAAAATTATAGGTGATTGTATAAGCACTGAAAGAAGTGTCAGTTCAAAAAGTATGGCTTTGGCTATTACTGGAGAGCAGCTGACTCCATGCTAGAACTAATCCTTTCAGACTAAACAAAACTACCTCCAAGATCCAAGTTTTCCCAAGTTTTAGAGTCAAGTTTATGAACCTGGCCTGTATCAAGCTGAGTAAAAATACAAAGAAACCATCTCAAGGACAAGTTACGCAATCATAACCGAGAAACAGGGCAAACAAAGCAAGAATAACTTTGTCAGATACCACATAAGAAAGAAGCAAAGATTTTTTAAATGAAATTATCAACAGAACAGAAAGAACAGGACAATCTTTACAAGCAAGCCTAATTTGAAAGCTTGCCAGATGAATATTAAAATAGAAAGCAACAACATTTTAATATTAGTTTTGGGATTGATTTTTTTGTTGGTATAAAGTTAGAATTAGAAATACAGGGGTAAACGGGGTAACTGGAGAGTCTGGCATATCTGTAGCTGTATGCGAATGCTCGTTTGCACTTAGAGATGTGGTTGGTTTCCATGCAGGCAGGCCCCTTTCAGTCTCATCTGTGAAATTTGGTCTCAAACTGGTAACTTCGGTTAGTTTAGTTTAATTTTTACAGTTTAGTTTTGAGCCTAGTTCCATAAGGAAGTAAAGCATGCACGTAAGCAATTTCCTAGTGAAAGTGAAGACATGCAGCTTCTTTCTGAGTCAAACTGCAAAACTGAAACTGGATATCTTTCATAACTGCAAGTTCTTCATAGGAACGTGATATTTTTCTACACTGGTAAAACTACAGGTTTGAAAAAAAAAGCCAGGACACCATTTTTAGTTACTAATCTATGTCTTTGCAGATTAGAAGTATAAGAGTTCCCAATACACAGGATTCCGTACAAGCAGAGCTTGCTCTTGCAGTCTATTTTAACAATATAGAATATGTTTCTATGTTCATTATGAAGGATTTAACAGATGAGAAAAAAACAGAATGAAAGTATTGAATACTTGAAAAATCATTTCTTACTGATTATTACATAATACTGCCTTAGTCAGCTACAGCTTGCAGAGTATTTCTCAGTTCTTTGGAAGAAAAAAAGTGGTTAATAATTAGCCTTTGCTATGCTATGCCATTAGTGTTGTTTTAACCATTTTCCTCTGAGCTATACATGCGAGTCTGGTATGTCATCATCTAGGAAAAATCTTATCAATTATGAGTTTAATGTTATCACTACATTAAGATTACTTCTAGGGTTACCTCCCATGTAGATTAATGCTAGTTAAATCTTTGCCAGTTTATATACAGTGAAGTCAGCCTAGCATCCACTTGCCATTAAGTAACTGTTGAATTAAATATTGACAAGTAGAAGCTTTTACCTTGTAAGGTCATGCCCTAAGTTAGGACCTGAGCTGCTCCTGGATATGTAGGAGCTTTCCAGGTGGGAGACAAACACCCTTAAAGTAACTCTTATTTTAAAGAAGGATTATGCCCCAAATAAAGCCTTTGCAGGATGGGAATCTTTGGGCTCATTCCTGAAGCAGGAAGAGTACCCATCATCTAGGGATTTGTGACTGAATGTTGGAGAATGCTTTCAAAATTCCTATTGCTGAAATATTAGAGCAGTTTATGTTGTCTTTATTAATCATAGTGCTGTAAGCGAGGAAACCGCTACTCACCAGGGTACCAAGGGCTTGAGCCTGCCTTCCTTCTCTGTGCAGTAGGAACTTCTTGCTTCCAGCAAGCAGATACACCCTGATGGATTAATTCTTCACACATCTTTGCCTGAAGTTGCATTATAGGCACCAAGAACACGTACAGGAAATTGCTAGAGGAATAGGCTTTCCAGCCAGTAAACTTATCACACTTAGAAACTTTTTCATACTCCTTTTGATGTTTTCAGAGAAGAACCAGGAATGTCTCTGGAAGATCGCTTTCACAGCAGGCTCAATCACAAATCTGAAGCTCCATATTCTAACTTACAAAAGGGATCATCCTAGTTGATATGATGGTGCCTTATACGATCTAAAGGGAAAACCAGCGTATGGTTTCCTTCTAGCCTTTAGGTCACTCTCAACTTCTGCGGAGGGGGAAGTAAAATGAAATGCCTTTGCATGTACTGTATTCTCAGTGAGTGCCTAGCTTGCTTACAGCCTGAGTTTGAGCACTCAGACTCCAGCCCCCTGGGAGCACGGGGCGGCCCGGCGAGCCCAGAGTCCAAGCATTCCACGCAATGTGAATACGCCTAAAAAGGAGGCAGAGCAAGCCCAGAGTAGAAGTATCTACTCATGTTGCTTTCATGCGAAAGCCAGTCCTGAAAATGAAGCTACGAAAATAACCGAGCAGGTTGGGTAATGAGGAGGTTGGGAAGATCTGTTTTACATAGCCCCAGATCTCAGCTTTGCTTCACGCTGCCAGACCCTTCTAGCCTGTCTAGCTGTAGTTTTTGATCTGATACCTAGTTTTTCCTTATTTATTTAGAAACTAAAAAAAAAAAAAAATCCAAGAGGTATTTATGTAACAAATTATTCTCTCTACAGATTCATGAAGTCTAGTAAGCTGCAGCTGGTAAGTGGCAGCTCACCATTTGTTCTCTTGAATGCTAAGAGATATTGCCAAGTTTTCCTCTCTAAAAGCAGGTAAAGATAATGTGTTGTACAAATTGGCTTTAAAGGGTCATTACCTTTATCTGTATAAGTAAAGTTTCATACGTAAATATGGTAAAATTCAGCATATTATGAACAATGGTGGTTTTTTCCCTTTTCAAAGAATGAGAGAATGGAAAAAGAACTAGTGAGAAAGACCATCCCCTCCTTTCCCAAGTTGTACCTGTGTTTTCCAGAAGAATTTAAATGTATTTTGTCAGTGCTTTAAAAACATTACAGCAAATGTTTTGTCACACTCAGTAGGTTTCAATTACGTGAATGTAAAGATGTAAAAGCTCCCTTACGTTTCCATAAGGTTATGAATTACTGGAAATACTAATGGCTGAAGTACCTACTTTGCATTTCAAAAGGTATTAAGGTCAAAGTCTGTTAGTTGTTGCCATTTTCTGACAGTTCTTTGTGTCAGGGCCTTGAGCACATAACCCGTCCTGGGGGATGGGTGCCTGGGCTCAGGGCCAGTTCGGATTACAGCGCAGGCACCCAGCCTCGAAGAGGGCTGCCCTCGAGCAGCTCTGTGGGAGCTCAGCCCCACCACCTCTACTCCACAGCAGCTCCCAAGCCGAACTTCTCACCCTTGGTCCTCACCTAAGCTAGGCTCTAGCCCTACCCACGCCTGGCCTTGTGCCCCGTCAGTCCAGACCTTAACCTTGATCTGCAGATTTGGCATTGTGGCTGAAACTCAGACCTG